CACAAGTCACCCAAAGCAGCGTTAAAAAAGCGGGAGGCGCCGAAAAGCGACTAATTTGCATCACTGAGAATATAGAGACACTTCTGGACCAGTTTGGACCAGAACTCCCCAGTATCAGACCGTCTGAAGAGGAGAAATGTGATCAGGAAGAAGGGAACGTTTTTAAATAAGAGCTATAAGCTAGAAAAGAGTGGGGAGTTCTTAAAGAGAAACCTGGCTCTAACTGGTGGAAAAGCAACAGGTTCACAAGTGGAACCAACTTCTAAAACAACACAGAAATCTAACAGAACTCATTTGAGTGAAAAAGGGGACCCAGTGACCCGTTGACTTACCTTTGTCTCGGTCGTACAGCAGCTCCTCGGTGGAGTAGGGGCTGCCGTCATGTGACCCGTCATGTGACCCGTGGGGGAGTCCGGGGGTCTGAGGGTCCGTGCTGCTGCGCTGCTGGGGGGGGAAGGGAGCGCGCCGCCCGTCAGGGACCTCCAGGGACTGAGAGAGAGAGAGAGGAAGTTACTGTGTTAAAGGTCTCCTATCATGCAAAATGCACTTTTTTAAGTCTTCTCTACATCACGTGTCCCCCCGGTGTCCCCGGTGTGTTTCAGGGAACTCACAAAGTGTCAGGAAATAAACCCCTCTCTCTTCTCCTCCGTACCCACATCTCTAAAAACGGGGGAACAACGGAGCTGATCCAGATTTGCTGCATCATGACCACATTACTGAAATGTGGGCGGGCTTTACACCCACGGGCCAATCAGAAACTTTGCTGTCAGAAACAATGAGACGTGTTCTGGAAGTAACATGGTCTGTGTTTACATTAGCATGCTAACACTGAGAGCTAACTTAGAGCGGGTGCTGCCGCCATGTGGTGAAAGGGGGAATTACATCTAAAAATATTTATTCTGTTTGACAGTGGCCATAAATAATACGTTATAAGACCGAAGCTACGGGTCGGACTTTGGACATGCCTGTACTAAATAACATCAGCGCAACAAGACTGACGCTGCAGGGAGCGTGGGTATTTCTTATGTATATTACATTATTTTAAAACAATTATCAGTCCCTGGAGGTCAGTATCTTGGTAGAATTCTTCTGCATGAGCTCTCCTCTCCTTTTTTTATTAAAGCTACTGACCCATAATCAGCACTTTAGTAACAGCTGAAAGAGAGGGGGATGAGGCTAGTTTGGTATCTTGAGAAAAACACATCAGAGACATGTTTTGTATATATCTGAGACCTATAATATATGCCTAAAAATAGTATAACAGGAGACCTCTAATATACATACGAAGGACCCCCGCTCCCCGCAGTCAGTCCTGTTGCCCTGATGTTATCTAATATGTAATAATAAAGCAGAGCCCCACCTTGAGCTCCTCTTTGTCCCCGCTCTCCCGGATGAAGACCTTCTCTAGCTCGTGGTTGATCCCCTCCATGCTGCTGGGGACTCTGGAGATCGAGGGCTTCGGCACGGTGGAGAGCGGCATCTGGGCCATGGAGACCTGCTGCAACACAAACACACACACACACACACACACACACACACACACACACACACACACACACACACACTTATTTTAACACAAATAACAGTGCCTAACCAGACGATGATGGAGACAGTTACGTCAAACAAAATAAACAACTTAAACTCAGAATTTCTCTGCAGTGCTGCGGTCAAAAAAAACGTTTGGCTTCACATCCAAAATGAACTCAGAGTATCGTCAGCTGGACTCTTTTGTACCAGCTGAGGCGATCACAGTGACAATTCAGTGACATTAATTAATAACCTATTCCATTACCTAACCAATGTTCAATATTTTACGCATAATTAAACGATTAAATAATCAAATGGTAAATCAACATTTTGGTTCCTATAGTAACCATGATACATGTATACCAACCGCTTTGAGTATGAAGTTGCAATGCCATCTTCTGTACACCATAACTCATCATTTGCATGTGAATCAGATGGCGTTTGGGACCTAAAGCAGAAATCTTGTTGCCATCGGTGTGACTCTGATCATCCCTATCATATGGAGCATTTAGGAGGATATATGCTTGAGTTACAGCTTCCTCTTTTACGCTTTTTCTCCACCACGCCACATCGAGAGTGTTCAATGAGTAAAGCCTTTTATAAATGTTGACCCTTAAAGTCTTCTAATGGTTGTAATGTTTTTTGGAGTTGATCGGGTGAAATCTGTAGGAGGAGTTTGTTAAAGTATGGCACGTGAAAAGTGTTAAAAATAGCAAAAACTTGCACATACAACTCTAAATGCCCGACTTCCTGTTGGGTTTATGATATGACCCTGAGAGGCTTTTCTGTGCGTCTCACCATTCTACATAGACCCGCCAAATGTCAGACCTGTAGGTGAAACCACAACAAGGGGCTGAACTGTAGCAACTCTATAGGGGGCGCTATAACGTTTTTTTACTAAAATATAGAAGACTGACAGGAAATCTAATTATTGACCGTCTCCTAATTAACTTTCACTGTTTCTATTTTCAACCAAGCTAGCTACAGTACAGATACACCTTTTACTTGTATACACATTTTAATGATTGCAATGCTACTCAAACATTTGTTCAACTGCACACAAACTGCATCCTCTCAATCTGATTATGTAGGAGCCATTTCCTTAGATTATAGTATCTTATCTTTTTAGAGTGTAACCTGAGATTCTGTGGTGTATATTATTTATTATTTAATTTGAGTGCGTTACTCCTGCAGGTCGAGGTGCTGCAGCATAAAAGGAGAGGTGCTGCAGCCTACTGGTGCGGCTGACTGAAGCAAACAGTTTTTAGACCTTGCTGGTTGGGAGCGTCACAGCTTGGTTCTTTATTGTGCTTTAGCATTGAAATATCAGTCAAATAGTTTGTTTAAAAACGTTTATTTATTTTTGCCTTTTTTGGAAATAAACTATCTTACTTTTCAATCGCATCTGGACATTTATATTTTTTTCTCTCAAACTACAAGCGTCTATTCGTCGGTCAGCCCCACGAGTGAGGCACAAACAAAGGACAAAAAACAAATGGATATCGTGGTCACTACAGATTTGTTTTTACAAACAGATGAAACTCCTCTCCTCCCTCAGGTGTGTGTTTCAGTAAATGTTAACTCTTACCTGTGTGTGTCAGGCTGTGCAGGTGTGTTGAGTGTGTGTGTGCAGGATGTAGGAGTTCCCAGACTAATACTGTACACTGGAGGACATGTCCCAACATGTTCACTCACACACACTCCTCACACACTCCTCAGGAACACACACATGAATGCCCGCTCTGTCTCACACACACTCTCGTTATGTAATCTCTCTGAACCAGTTCCTGTTTCCCTCACACACTCCTTCTGCAGCAGACACACACCTCTGACATCAAACAGTGTGTGTGTGTGTGTGTGTGTGTGTGTGTGTGTGTGTGTGTGTGTGTGTGTGTGTGTGTGTGTGTGTGTGTGTGTGTGTGTGTGTACTGGTTCTTCTTAGGAAGTTAAAAACTATTCATGACGTCCCAAATCTATTTATATTGCTGTGAAACATCTCCTCGAAAAACAAACAGATCTATTCAACGGAATACAAACTGATTATAACTAATGTAAACTATATATAAATAATAAGGATAAAATTAAAATAAGAATCAAATATTAAAACAAATATTGAATATTTAATAATAATAATAATAAACAGATGATTCAAAAAATATGAAACATACATTTCAAATGTACATACTGTATACACAGCAAACAAAATGTATTGAACATCAATGAAGTCCACCCTAACCTGAGGGTCTGGGTCCACGCACGCCCCTCCTGCTAGAACTGAGGTCTTCAACAGGGGGTCTGCGGAGGTACTGCAGGGGGGTCGCGAAATCTTTGGTTGATTAGACAATTATTATTTTTTTCTTTAAAAAAAAAAATGTTTT